ACAAGGAAGGATGATACAGGTAATGCTAACAAGTGGTGTGTCTGACACTGGGGCTAAAGTTGGGAGATTTGTCACCATGTAATACTGTTATTAGTATGCATGTGTGTAAATTAATATAGGGAGTGATAGATTGAGATGGATGGCCAGTCCCATGTCTGGGGGAGGGAGTCTCGCTGACAGCATTGTCATGACTCATTAAGGGAGGTCATGACCACAAATTCGTTTTTATTGCTCAAATATTTCACCAAGCATTGTGCAATTTTTATATGTGAACATTTAAAACTTAAATTGATGCATATTTCCTTAATATTTATCATCCTTTATTATATGAGAAAAATGTCATTTTGATGTTGATAAAATATGTATGCAAATGCCTTTGTGAAAGGAATGTTTAACCCATTCACCCCTGAAATTTCATACTGAACTATTCCAACCTTTGAATTGGAAGAGTTCAAATGTGTCTTCGGGGGTGAATTATCAAAGGTGGATATTGTCCCTGCTACAAAAATGTTGTCTGTGGACCCTATTTGTACTGTATCCATATTACTAGGTCTGGTGTCGGTACTATGTATAGTGATAGGTGTTAGGATAAGGGAAATAAGTTTGAGGTGCCCAATTATCGGGGTGTGGTGAATGTGAGACTTGATCAACAGAAACAAGCAAATAATTTCGATGTGTATTGGGGGTAGGGGTGAGGTATGTGCATTCTGGGAGATATAAGCTATGTGCTTGGTGTATCCCAACTATTAATGGTTGAAGGGTGTAGCAAGGTGTAAGAGATGTTATAGGGGATAGGGGATTTTGATATGTATGAGGTTAGGGTTGAGCTATGATACTTCAGTAGGGAAACGTGACTGTTCTTTTTACTAGAATCAAGATGTGGTTTTTGATGGGGCAGGGTGACTGCGCCATGTTTTCTGTTTTACAGGAGATGTGTTTTTTGTGGGGTATGGTAACCGCCCCATGTTTTCTGTTTTACAGGAGGTGTGTTTTTTGTGAGGTACGGTAACCGCCCCATATTTTCTGTTTTACAGGAGGTGTGTTTTTTTGTGGGGTACGGTAACCACCCCATGTTTTCTGTTTTACAGGAGGTGGGTTTTTTGTGGGGTACAGTAAAATGTGAAATGACAGTGCACTATGATACAAGCCCTAATACATCACCCATAAGTAGTTGTTCGTATGCAGACTTCAGCATGTTCACATATGAGTGATCACCCATCCGCGCCCGGAGTAACACTTTACCTGGTGTTTATAGGTATCGGGGCTGCTAATCGAGTAGGATCCTCCGTGTCATTGGTTCATGCTTCCCCTTTTTTGTGTCCCCAGATAGGGGCCAGAGTCACACTAACAGTGCTGTTTAGTCCTGCCATGCAAGGAGCAAGGATTCGTATGGATGTCTTTGTCAGGAGATTTTGGTTCTGGACTGGCTGTGATATTTCTATTGATGTGACTGTCACCAGACTTTCAGTTGGATATTACTTATTTGGGCAATAGTTGCTCAGTTATTAGATAAAGATATCAACATTTGCCTTTTAGAAAGGTTTTGGTATATTTTATGCCTTTAACGTGACACTTGTGTGCTAGTTGTCAGTGTGACAATCGTGTATGTGACAGAGAGGATTCTGATTTGACGATTTCACCAATTTTAATAGTGTACATAACTGGCTTCAAGAATTGAGGAGGGTTACAGAATATTTTAGCTAAAGAACAGGCCCACGGACGCCATTCTGTGAAGCTTCACCTATACCGCATTCCAGACAAAAATGGATGTAAATTTGTCAGTTTAATAACTTTTGTCAAAGTCTACCTGCAGTGTGTATACTCTTACCAATGAAGAACGGTGTGTGCAGTTGGCATATAGTTTGCTTCAATAGTGGAAATGGATAGCATTTAAAAACATTTTCACTCAATAAAGCTGAAATGATAGCTGCTCATTCTTCTTAAATCAACCATCGACAGTGTTAGATTGGACAACTATAGGTAATGTTTGAATGTCGGTCACGATGTCATGTCTGTCCAATCATCTGTAATGTCAGACTGGCTGTCATCTCCGTCGGATTGGGTGCTGCTGTAATAGGGGATGTCTAATGCCATAAAACACGGTGTGGTTAAGGTGTGAAATGTTGACATAGACAATATTTGGAGTGACTGAGGATGTCATTGTTGATTAAAATGACTTTTGCCATGAATGAAAATGCCCCAGAGGATATTTGACCAGTCAGAGGATATATTATCTTAGTGGATCTTTGCTGTAATTGAAAATATGTTTTTGGATATTTTCTACAAGATACCAGATACAATGTATATGTTAAACAAACAAATACTAGCACTGTAAATTGCCAAAGGCGTGCTGGATATTACCATTAAACCCAGTGTATATTTTCTGTGTCTGAGGATGCCTTAGTGGATTCGTTAAAATTTAAGATGGCAATGGATATTTGCTTCAACTTCAAGGATATATCCTGATGATGGGAGTATTCTTCTGCAGAGGATAAAAGCCTTGGAGCTTTTGGGAAAAGATGTTGCCCAACTTCACCAAAGCTGTTGTCATTTAATATTGATCAGTCATCATGATGTCTGGGCATAAATGGTGTTCATCATGTCATGAACATCAACATAAATGGGGATTAACGCAAAATGTTCCGAATCGCTTCCTGTTTTCCGATCTTCTCAGAAAAATGGTGGGTAGTACAACTGATCAGCAAGTATCGATACAAAGGAAGTATAGTTACGACTGATTAACAAGTATCGATACAAAGGAAGTATAGTTACGACTGATTAACAAGTATCAATGCGACAAAGGAAGTATAGTTACGACTGATTAACAAGTATCAATACAAAGGAAGTATAGTTACGACTGATTAACAAGTATCAATAAAAAGGAAGTATAGTTACGACTGATTAACAAGTATCAATACAAAGGAAGTATAGTTACGAATGATTAACAAGTATCAATACAAAGGAAGTATAGTTACGACCGATTAACAAGTATCAATGCAACAAAAGTCTTGTTACTACTAATCGACAGGTATCCATATGACAAAAGTATCGTAACGACTGATTTACAGGTATTGTTAAAATAAAGGTCTTGTTACGACCGATTAGCAGGTGTCACTACAACAAAGATCTGATTAGTTTTCGCAGGTAGAGTAGTATAAATACACCATTGGCATTTTACAAATAGAGGAGTCAACATCTTTATAATATAAGAAATGTAGATCAAATTTTCCCCCAAACTTGAAAAAGTAAGAGTTCTGTATACACCCATCTGTTATGTCTTGTAGCATTTATACGATGACTCTAGGAGTAAGACCAGGGACAGATAATGTCGTTAAAAGAAATAAATGAGAATTTCGTAGTGATTTATAGCATATATATGAGATTTTATAGAAACGTTTTTATTTTCTTGAGATTTGAGTTTTCCCTCCATGATGAGTGTTTTGTATAGGTATACTTGATAAGACTGTAGATGAGATTGCAAGTCAGTGGTGGTATAATTGTGTGTCTATGTTATATAAAAAGGACATGTTGATATACAAGTGTGAACATCTCGACAGGCCCCTGACAAGTCAGCTGATAATAGACTTGTGGACCGCTACAGGCCCCTGACAAGTCAGCTGATAATAGACTTGGGGACCGTGATAGGCCCCTGACAAGTCAGCTGATAATAGACTTGGGGACCGTGATAGGCCCCTGACAAGTCAGCTGATAATAGACTTGTGCACCGTGATAGGCCCCTGACAAGTCAGCTGATAATAGACTTGGGGACCGTGATAGGCCCCTGACAAGTCAGCTGATAATAGACTTGGGGACCGTGATAGGCCCCTGACAAGTCAGCTGATAATAGACTTGGGGACCGTGATAGGCCCCTGACAAGTCAGCTGATAATAGACTTGTTGACCGTGATAGGCCCCTGACAAGTCAGCTGATAATAGACTTGGGGACCGTGATAGGCCCCTGACAAGTCAGCTGATAATAGACTTGGGGACCGTGATAGGCCCCTGACAAGTCAGCTGATAATAGACTTGTGGACCGTGACAGGCCCCTGACAAGTCAGCTGATAATAGACTTGTGAACCTCCAGTAATGAAGATGTCTCAGGTTTATAATGCGTCATGTTACGTGTGCAGTCATGTGCATTTGCCGTGTAATTCACTTGACCTCCAACCCTGCCACCACCCTAATCATGCCCAAGTGTAATCACGATCATGCCCCGATACCTCCACACAAAAGCTGTCGCAGCCTTATCTAGATCGGAATGAATCCAGATATATATATAAAAAAGTCATCTGCTAGATATTGCCTGCTTATCCAACAGTTCTTATAGAAAAAAGATGACGTTGAAAACATAAAATTTTATTATCACGATATATGACTAATATTTTGAATATAAATTTTAAAATGCACCGTTTTTTCCTCAGTTGTCAGAGTAATTTTGTTACCAACCATGTCATAAAGAATCTTGCTAAAAGCATCTGAGGCAGGAATTCACAAACGAGTGTCACCTTTGACCCTATATTTAAGTGGTGTATCAAAGGAAATGGGCCCGTATCAACAATTGTAGCATGTACATAGCAAATTACAACATATAAGTGAAAAGAAGATAAATATGTTTTATAATTTCTATTCAGTTGTCAGACAATTTAAAAAGATATCAGATCATATGAAAAGTGATAAAATCGGAGGAGGCTTTCACCAGAGAAAATGAACGTCCGGTCATAGAGCATGAACTCAGTTTAGGTTGGTCACCAGGTGCCCCATTCTCGGTTCATCATCATAATTAGAATCAGATTTGATGGAGAATTGTAATGTATTATCACAGCAAAAATTCCATATTGCACAAAGCTTCCATTAAGTTTGTCCACAGCTTTTATCAAATGTTGGTTTTATTATTTCCTTAGTAATTTCTTTGTGTGTTGATGTATGAGAATGATGAAATTTTCTTTTTTGTTTTTGTTAAAAGAAAAACTTTCAATATGATTTAACTTTGTGTATTTTCAGGCTTCTGATGCAAGCTCTGATATCTTCACCACAGTCAACACTGTAAACCGCAGTCGTGAGTATTACTTTGGTTTCTGTTACAGTCAAATCAACACAATATTACAGAACAAGGATGTTACAGACGATATGATTGGTTGAGAAATACACATTTTATTGTACATACATTGTGATTGGCTGACAAATACTCATTATACAGACATTATCATTTGCTGACAAATACACATTTTATTATACAGACATTATGATTGGCTGATAAATACACATTGTACAGACATTATCATTGGCTGACAAATACACATTGTACAGACATTATCATTGGCTGACTAATACACATTGTGCAGACATTATGATAGGCTGACAATTACACATTATACAGACATTATCATTGGCTGACAAATACACATTATACAGACATTATGATTGGCTGACAAATACACATTGTACAGACATTATAATTTCTTAACAAATACACATTTTATTATACAGACATTATGATTGGTTGACAAATACACATTGTACAGACATTATGATTGGCTGACAAATACACATTATACAGACATTATGATTTGCTGACAAATACACATTATACAGACATTATCATTGTGATAAATACACATTATACAGACATTATCATTGGCTGACAAATACACATTGTACAGACATTATGATTGGCTGACTAATACACATTGTGCAGACATTATGATAGGCTGACAATTGCACATTATACAGACATTATCATTGGCTGACAAATACACATTGTACAGACATTATAATTTCTTAACAAATACACATTTTATTATACAGACATTATGATTGGTTGACAAATACACATTGTACAGACATTATGATTGGCTGACAATTACACATTTTATTGTACAGACATTCTGATTGGCTGACAAATACACATTTTATTGTACAGACATTATGATCAGCTGACAGATGCATTTGAATGATAAGTAATGGTCACAGTAAAGTCAAGGAGTTCTAATTGTGACATTTTAAAGTGTGAGGAAATAGTAAATAATCATTCCAAAATGTGATACAAATATGTAACCTTGAACAAGATTAGTGGGAACAGCTAGAAGTCGTTTGTATGGTGAGATAAGGTGTTTAGTTAGATAAGAGCTTGTGGCCATTGTTGTGTTGTTGTTTAACAGGGCACTTGACCTGTAATTAAACCAGGGTGATGTACACAGTGTGTGTTGGTTGATAGGGTACTGTTGATAGATACTTGACAAGTACTTGTCCCACCAAAAGTAGGGGTAATACTCCCCAGATAATACTTAATTCATATAGACATACTGTTACTTTCTCAAGTCCCTAACATGATATAAAAATGCTTTCTACATAGTTTACCATGTAAGTGACGAATTAACTGTACCAAAAGTTTACCATGTAAATGACGAATTAACTATACCAAAAGGGGTAAGGCTTGCTGTAAAGTTTACTTTGTATTTAAAAAGGAATGACTGCAATAAGAAAAGTTTTTACCAAGGTCGTCACAAAATTAAGCTTTACAACAACAAATATTACGGTTCTCCTTAAAAATGTCAGAGGTCAATGGTTTCCCAGGAAGTCTCGAGATGATGACGTTAGTACGGTAATGTGTTACTTCTGGTCGACTTTCCTGATCATAACCTGTTGATTTTGATTACCATCTACGTGAAGTTTATTGTTACTTGTGTCTAAAGAAGAAGAAAATAAACTTTTACAAAATGGGAAGTATGGGGACAGATGCACGAAGTTTGTATTTCAAAATATTTTTCAAAATCTTTATGATCAAGACAATAAATTTTGATAATTAGGGTGATCATGTACCATAATAAGTATGTTTCTGATGAAAGCTTATAGGATTACAGATGATGAAAAAGTTGATGTGACAATAGATGACAAATCATTTGATGTGATAGTGGATGATGTATCATTTAATGCGACATGAAATATTACTTTACTGGCGATATATAATGTGAAAGAAAGATAAATAATTTGTCTGATGAGAGCTGATGAATAATTTGATGTAATGACTAATGATAATTAATAAGAAGGATTTGAAATTGTTATTCTTAATTGTCAAAAAACAGAACCAAAGAAATTGTTGTTGAATGTTTTGAGAAATGGGGGGGGGGGAGGGGCGGGGGGGTGATACCATAATTGTATGTATTAGTACAACTTATTTCTCTGCAGTGATATATATAATGTAGAAGTGGAAATTTTCTCAGTTCTGAGTGTTTTTCTCATTGAGTAAATAACAACGATCTGTTAAAAAAATAACTAATGCGAACCTTTCCAAATGTCAAACTGTATGTTATCTCAGCACGGTATTGTGATAATTTACAGGAGAATGTATAGTGACCAACAACACAAGTACACCTACAGTATGCAGCAGCCCGTGCCCTGCGGGGATCACGACGACCCCTTCCCTCAGTAGTCCTGCCACCACTGCAACCACCACTGCTGCGCCCACCACCACCAGTGCATTAACAGTCTCGGCCACCACCACCTGTGGTACTATCACCACTTCCTGTAGTCCCGTATCCGTGGCGGCTCCCATTACCACACCATCTGTGATATCTAGTGGACCGCGAACAGCGCCACCTACAGCACCTCCCGCCAAACGCCCGACTCTTCCACCTTCATCGCCAACAAGCTCGCATCCTGCTCTGACAGCATCTCGACCACCAAGCAGGACCGCACAAATCCATAACCGAGAGAACAGGAAGAGTAGTTCCCCTTTACCCCCTCCTCGGCCCCTTGCCAACAAGAGGGAGGAGCACCGCGAAAAAGACCCACAACTCCCCTCAAGTCTACCGTTTTCCAAGTCCAGGACAAGGTTTGTTTTAAACTTCTTCAGAATTTTGTATAGTAATGATAAAAGGCTGTTGATAGGGTTGTTAGTAAACCTTTATCAATTCCATATCGCCATTTATCATCAAATATCTTCTCATGTGCTACAATAGAGATTAGAAAGCTGATTAAAAAGGAATGTCTGTGCCATCTTAGCATATCTAAGATATAACGGTGATATGATGTAGAAGTTGATTTGCACCTCGATACACATTGGCCTGACAAATGTGCGCAGCTAAACAAAAGAGGTCGGAGAGATTTTGTAGGCGATACAAACTGTTTATGTATATCTTTGCAAACTTTGGGCATAAACTTGATCGTAAATTTAACATACTATGAGCCATGTTTTATAAATGTTTGATTTGTTTTGCTCATTTAGAGTGATATATTATCTACTGATAGAATAATAAGTCTGACATTTCTGTCAATGAGCATGAAATGAACTTGATATTATTCAAACAAAGCATCAAATATTTGCAGAAATAAATTTGACTGTTTTTCATATAAAAAAATGAAGAGAAGTGCATTTTGACTGTTTTTCATAAAGAAAATGAAGAGAAGTGCTGTCTCTTACATAGCTAACTATATCTATCTGTGCTTTCTCTTACATGGCTAACTATATCTACATGTGCTGTCTCTTACATAGCTAGCTATATCTACTTGTGCTGTCTCTTACATAGCTAACTATATCTACCTGTGCTGTCTCTTACATAGCTATATCTACCTGTGCTGTCTCTTACATAGCTAACTATATCTACCTGTGCTGTCTCTTACATAGCTAACTATATCTTTAGGGCTGTCTCTTACATAGCTAACTATATCTACCTGTGCTGTATCTTACATAGCTAACTATATCTACCTGTGCTGTCTCTTACATAGCTAACTATATCTTTAGGGCTGTCTCTTACATAGCTAACTATATCTACCTGTGCTGTATCTTACATAGCTAACTATATCTACCTGTGCTGTCTCTTACATAGCTAACTATATCTTTAGGGCTGTCTCTTACATAGCTAACTATATCTACCTGTGCTGTCTCTTACATAGCTAACTATATCTACCTGTGCTGTCTCTTACATAGCTAACTATATCTTCCTGTGCTGTCTCTTACATAGCTAACTATATCTTTAGGGCTGTCTCTTACATAGCTAACTATATCTACCTGTGCTGTCTCTTACATAGCTAACTTTATCTACCTGTGCTGTCTCTTACATAGCTTACTATATCTACCTGTGCTGTCTCGTACATAGCTAACTATATCTACCTGTGCTGTCTTGTACATAGCTTACTATATCTACCTGTGCTGACTCTTACATAGCTAACTATATCTACCTGTGGTTTATTTCAGTGCCAACAGTTCTGGTCATCACCGGTACAGCCCCCAAATCTCGCCTAGTGCGAGTATACCCCCTTACCCTTTACATTCCACTCCTAACCACACGCCAACATTTCCTCCCCACCACCCCCAACTGCCCCCTCATCCCCCCTCCGCCCACACCCCCGGGCATCCGCCCCACAGTATGTTTGCACCCCCACTGCCGCCAGGACCAGCCGGGGCTTCTTTGACATCAGGCTCATTGAGCGGAGCATCCGCAGTCAGTCTGTCATCTCACTCACCAAGTGATTCCATGTCATATGCTAGTAAGTGTATATCAATAACTTTACCTACTGGTTGTTACTATGTAATATTCCATATGCTGAAGAGCATGCACTTTCCAATGTGTTTGCTGTAATACACTTCTCCATTTTACTTGTATAATATACACTTTTTGTCTTGGAATTGTTGGAAAGACATGTTGAAAGAACCCATTGTTAAAAAGTACATCTGTTACGGGAGGCAGCTATACTATTACCCAGGGGAGGTTACCATCTGTCAGGGGAGGCAACTATACTATTACTCAGGGGAGGCTACCATCTGTCAGCGGAGGCAGCTATATTATTACCCAGGGGAGGTTACCATCTGTCAGGGGAGGTAACTATACTATTACCCAGGGAAGGTTACCATCTGTCAGGGGTGGCAACTATATTATTACCCAGGGGAGGTTACCATCTGTCAGGGGAAGCAACTATACTATTACCCAGGGAAGGTTACCATCTGTCAGGAGAAGCAACTATACTATTATCCAGGGGAGGTTACCATCTGTCAGGGGAGGCAACTATACTATTACTCAGGGGAGGTTACCATCCGTCGGAGGAGGCAGCTAGACTATTACCAAGGGAAGGTTACCATCTGTCACGGGTTGGCAACTATATTATTACCCAGGGGAGGTTACCATCTGTCAGGGGAAGCAACTATACTATTACCCAGGGGAGGTTACCATCTGTCAGGGGAGGTAACTATACTATTACCCAGGGGAGGTTATCAACTGTCAGGGGAAGCAACTATACTATTACCCAGGGAAGGTTACCATCTGTCAGGAGAAGCAACTATACTATTATCCAGGGGAGGTTACCATCTGTCAGGGGAGGCAACTATACTATTACTCAGGGGAGGTTTCCATCCGTCGGAGGAGGCAGCTAGACTATTACCCAGGGAAGGTTACCATCTGTCAGGGGAAGCAACTATATTATTACCCAGGGGAGGTTACCATCTGTCATGGGAGGCAACTATACTATTACCCAGGGGAGGTTACCATCTGTCATGGGAGGTAACTATACTATTACCCAGGGGAGGTTACCATCTGTCAGGGGAGGCAACTATACTATTACCCAGGGGAGGTTACCATCTGTCAGGGGAGGCAACTATACTATTACCCAGGGGAGGTTACCATCTGTCAGGGGAGGCAACTATACTATTACCCAGGGGAGGTTACCATCTGTCAGGGGAGGCAACTATACTATTACCCAGGGGAGGTTACCATCTGTCAGGGGAGGCAACTATACTATTACCCAGGGGAGGTTACCATCTGTCAGGGGAGGCAACTATACTATTACCCAGGGGAGGTTACCATCTGTCAGGGGAGGCAACTATACTATTACCCAGGGGAGGTTACCATCTGTCAGGGGAGGCAACTATACTATTACCCAGGGGAGGTTACCATCTGTCAGGGGAGGCAACTATACTATTACCCAGGGGAGGTTACCATCTGTCAGGGGAGGCAACTATACTATTACCCAGGGGAGGTTACCATCTGTCAGGGGAGGCAACTATACTATTACCCAGGGGAGGTTACCATCTGTCAGGGGAGGCAACTATACTATTACCCAGGGGAGGTTACCATCTGTCAGGGGAGGCAACTATACTATTACCCAGGGGAGGTTACCATCTGTCAGGGGAGGCAGCTATACTTTTACCCAGGGGAGGTTACCATCTGTCAGGGGAGGTAACTATACTATTACCCAGGGGAGGTTACCCGCTAGGAATGAAGGCCTATTTATTGACTCAAAGGCTTTTTTTTTGACACATAACATGATAGGTTAAAATAAAACTTAAAACTTCCTGAAGTAACGTTAGTGTCAGATTTTTCTTTTTTCTCCCCCAAACCTAATGAGCTAAATTTGCACATGTATTTATGAGCTATTTGTGATGTTAGTTGTGAGAAAGTCTGGCAGACTCGGTGTTGGCTCAGCTACAGAGAACTGTACTGGTTGGCTAACGAGTAGGGGCTTTAATGAATTGTGGAAAGATGGGTCTGTAATTTATATTACTGGGTCTGGCTTTAGTAATGCTATCAAATTGTTCTGTCATGAGCTATAAAGTGGAAGCAGAATGAGGTATTCTAGATATTTCTCGATTTCTACCAATCTTTTGATACCTAATGAGCTATTTAGAGGTAATCCCCCTGAAGACCAAGTACACATCCTGACATGTGTAAATCATTACAAGTGTTAATTTATACTACTGCAGACTTGGAAGCTCCATTAATAGAGGAATATCATCAGAGAGTTAAGACTATCTCACATGACTGATAAGAGTACCGGTACAGGGCTAATCTACCGTGATATATGGCTATTGGTCCTGTAGTCATGGTCTAAAAACACTAAAAGAATTTTAGGTATATATTTTGAAAACAATGGAAGTTTGAATTCAACTCTGGGGAAGTTTTTACAATAACATTAAGTTGGTATATCCTATTGAATCATTCTTTAATTATGAATATTTCAATAACTTTTATGAAACAAATTTTGGAAATGAGATAAGAACGAATTTTAAATGTTGTCCCTGTTGTTCATGAAATTTTGTAGATGAGTAATATGCATTTTAAGTACTATTATTCTTGTTTTTCAGACCAGGAAATTTTACGAGAAGAGCTGAATCGTCGCTTCCTTGCCACACAGGATCGTCCCGTACCCTCAATAGGCGGGGCTCACCCCTTCATCCGTTCAGACGTCCATCAGCACCAACATCAACATATGCATCAACATCAACACACCCACCAACACATGTATCCAATACACATCCCCGGGTCCTTGGGCCCACCTCCAGCCCCATTGCTGGTGAGTAAAATGTGTATCCGATACCCTTCCTAGGACTCCCTGAGCCCACTGCTGGCTCAAATATCACAAACCCTTCCTAGGACTCCCTGAGCCCACTGCTGGCTCAAATATCACAAACCCTTCCTAGGACTCCCTGAGCCCATTGCTGGCTCCTTTTCCTGCGCTAACTATAGGCTTGTTGACTGTTGAATTCTAGTTTCTTTAAAGCAGACTCCAGCAAAAGAAGCTGGCTACTGTTATCCAATGTCAGTCATGAAATTTCAGAGTTATATGAAGTGTACTCAAATTTACTTTCGTCTGGGCAGAGTGTAGAAATCACCGTTTTGAAAAACCTTTAACTGGCATTCTGTGGAGATTATTTGCAAAAGAGGTGATAAAATAGTTGTTGGAGGCCACTACTACTGTGTAGAGAATCTGTAATAAGTCTGACTGAGGTTGGGAGATAGTGCCACTGTTATCAGAAAGCTACTGCCCTCATACCAACACCCAACACTGCTGTTTTATACACATTTATCACAAGTTTTTATAAGCCTCAATTTATCAGTAAATGGCTTCCGCCAGTATATTCAGATAAGGACCTGTTTTCTTTTTGTGGTAACAGTCTTTAAAATTAGACTCCAAAATCACATAGAGATAAATTGGAGTATCTATTCTACTAGCACACTACCTACCAAAAAAAAAAGGTTCATTTTCAAATATCAAAACTTGAGGCACTAAAGGTTTTAGACATAATGATTATTGAAGGCAATGGTGTAATTATTTGATAAAAACGAACATAATTTTATCATGCATGCCGCATCAATAAAATCTGAAGCATGTTCCTTGCTGTGAGGAAATCATTACCTTAAGAACAGCAAAAAAGGAACATTACAAATTTAAATAATTTGAAAATTTAATTATAAACATTAAGTTTGAATCAAGTTATCAAAGCCAGAGCACATTTACAAGAAAAAAACAGTCTCTTCTTTCTGTTATTTGTCTACCCATAAAAATGGATGTAGTTAGGAATCACCCAGAGAAATTACTCTCCCAGAGTGGATCAGTGATAGAATCCATGAGAGATGAGTTACAGGCACATACAAAATGGTGAGGTGTGAATGGGTAGCTGGGTGCTGTGTTTATAACCTGGCTAGATTAGGGCGGAGATAAAACACTATGGCAGGTAGTCTATATCTGGGGAGGGAGTGATAGGGATGCAGTGATTGAGACTTCTGGAGGGGATGAAAGGGACATTTGCTGGAGAGGAGATCAGCACCTTTGGGGGAGAGGGAGGGAGGGGGTGGGGGANAACCTCTGAAGGAGGTGTAAGGGATGATATTATACCACAGACTGTACAGTTAGACAGAGTTAAATCACATTTAAATCAGATTCATATGTTAATCATCACAACCAGGTGATACTCCCCTGGAAATCCAATATTCTAAATTCAGGATTTGCATGTCGATCACCTAAATCTCTGCAGCAGTTTCCTTGAAAAACGTTGCTTCAATTAGTTATGTACATACATTTTTTTGATCAGTAACGTATCTCATTAAAATTATCTGATAAAATTGCATGTCAATAGCTTCATAGATGATGATGATGTATGATAATGTTGAATGTCTGAAATAGACTTTATATCTATTTCTGGAATTATCGTTACTGGTAATAAAAATACTTCAACTGAATATTTTGACATGGGGAAGTCAGTGCTGTGTTGGGTATGTATAGATGATGGGGAAGTCAGTGCTGTGTTAAAATATATTTGGTTGATATTTCTGTATATTTTACAGTCCCTAATAATGAAATGAAAAATGAAATTGCAAGATATTCAAATTCATTGTTTGATATTCTGTATATTTCAGTACGAGAAGGTGCCAAAGTTAGACTCCCCATTTTACCGGCCCCAGATCCCAGGCCTGCAAACCTACCCCACTGGGATGTCGCCCCTAATGCCTCCAGCTGGGCCAGGACCCCTCAACTCTGGACTTAACTCCGGGATACCAGGGGCATTCCAACCCAAGGTAAGTTCCTGTCCTTGATCAGTGGCCAATGGTCATGTTTAATGTGGAAATGGGTATCTGATTTGTGACTATGATCTGAAAACTGGTGTAAACATACTATTATATTGCCTTTTTTCACCTTTCATAATCATGCATGACCTCTGCAACCTCAAACTTTCTAGTTTTCATTCAGATTTTTTTAATCTTAAATCTGACGTAAAAAATGGACACACATCTTTGTGCAGGAATCAAGTTGAAATAATGAATCTGAGGCAATGATTAAATGGAGGATGCTTTTCTGTACAGCAGTGTGTGTATATATAATAAGTAGGTAAAAAAGTGGCGGAGCAAGGTCATGAAATCTACAGCGCATCAATGATAAAACTGTCTTACTCTCCAATATAGACTATACTGTAGCCATGTTCTGTCTTACTTTCCAGTATAGGCTATACTGCAGCCATGTTCTGTCTTACTCTCCAGTATAGACTATACTGCAGCCATGTTCTGTCTTTCTCTCCAATATAGACTATACTGCAGCCATGTTCTGTCTTACTCTCCAATATAGGCTATACTGCAGCCATGTTCTGTCTTACTCTCCAGTATAGGCTATACTGCAGCCATGTTCTGTCAAAGTGCCTTGTTTGAACTTTGAACTTTATATGACTGGGGATTTATGTTTGTTATAATCTGCCTAACCTAACGTGCTTGATTTGTGCTTAGCTATCGTTGAATACTTTTGTAATATAATAATTTCTCTCATACTGTTCATCTTTTCTTCCAATAATTTTGCTGTTAACCTTAGCCTTTAGATTATAATATCTGACTTTGGTTGGAGAACGGAATGTTTCTGTTCCGTAAGGAGTACTTGATACCTGTGTAATCAAGTCTCAGAGATAGATGTGATAAATAACAATGACAGAATTGAACTGTTAAGATTTTCTGGAGACCCTGATTCAAAACTAAAATGTGTATTTAGAAATTTAAATAGATATTTCAGTAAAGACAAACAGATGGATACACCACATTCATTTTGCGAATTCTAAATAGCTGATGAATTAATATGTATGGGAACAGTATAGAATAATTTGTGGAAAAAAATCAAGTTTAGATATGTGAGGTTAAGTCTGACAGGCAGACATGAAGATGTATGCACATATATGTGATAATAATTACGCACATTTAGTATAGCCCATGTGAATTGTGTACCACTGTAGGTACAGTCTCTGTGGATTGTGTACCATTGTAGGTACAGCCTATGTGGATTGTGTACCACTGTAGGTACAGCCTATGTGGATTGTGTACCATTGTAGGTACAGCCTATGTGGATTGTGTACCACTGTAGGTACAGCCTATGTGGATTGTGTACCACTGTAGGTACAGCGTATGTGAATTGTGTACCACTGTAGGTACAGCCTATGTGAATTGTGTACCACTGTAGGTGCAGCCTATGTAAGGTAGTGTGCACAACTAGTACTGTAGTTACAGCCTAAATGGATGGTGTACCACTGTAGGTACAGCCTATGTGAATTGTGTACCACTGTAGGTGCAGCCTATGTAAGGTAGTGTGCACAACTAGTACTGTAGGTACAGCCTATGTGGATTGTGTACTACTGTAGGTACAGCCTATATGGATTGTGTACTACTGTAGGTACAGCCTATGTGGATTGTGTACTACTGTAGGTACAGCCTATGTGGATTGTGTACCACTGTAGGTACAGCCTATGTAAGGTAGTGTGTACCACTAGTACTGTAGGTACAGCCTATGTAGATTGTGAACCACTCTAGGTACAGCCTACGTAAGGTAGTGTGCACCACTAGTACTGTAGGTACAGCCTAAATGGATTGTGTACTACTGCAGGTACAGCCTATGTAAGGTAGTGTGCACCACTAGTACTGTAGTTACAGCCTAAATGGATTGTGTACTACTGTAGGTACAGCCTATATAAGGTAGTGTGCACCACTAGTACTGTAGGTACAGCCTATGTAAGGTAGTGTGCACCACTTGTACTGTAGTTACAGCCTAAATGGATTGTGTACCACTGTAGGTGCAGCCTATGTAAGGTAGTGTGCACCACTAGTACTGTAGGTACAGCCTATATGGATTGTGTACCACTGTAGGTATAGCCTATATGTAAAGTAGTGTGTACCACTGTAGGTACAGCCTATATGTAAAGTAGTGTGTACCACTGTAGGTACAGCCTATATAAGGTAGTGTGCACCACTAGTATTGTAGGTACAGCTTACAGTACAGCCTATGTAGATTATGTATCACTAGGTAAAGCCTATGTAGTTTGTGTACCACTGTAGGTACAGCCTATGTAGATTGTGTACCACTGAAGGTAAAGCCTATGTTTGTTGTGTACTGCTGTAGGTACAGTCTATTTAAGGTGGTGTGTACCACAGAGGTACAGCCTGTGTAAGGTAGTGTGCACCACTAGTACTGTAGGTACAGCCTGTGTAAGGTAGTGTGCACCACTAGTACTGTAGGTACAGCCTATGTAAGGTAGTGTACACCACTAGTACTGTAGGTACAGCCTGTGTAAGGTGGTGTATACCACTAGTACTGTAGGTACAGCCTGTGTAAGGTGGTGTATACCACAGAAGCGTGTATCAGTTTACACTGTCACCAGTTCAGTCGTACCTGCCGTTTACCAGATGCCTATCCACAGAGCCACACTCCTGTCAACTTATTTGTGTCTCAATTCATATCCACGATTCTGTTGGGGGGGGGGGGGGGGGGGGGGGATTCTTGACATATTGATTTCAAAAAGAGAAACATGCAGAACAAGAAATGCAATCTATAATACATTGTAAAGCAAGCATACAGAGACATGCTTATAATAAACTACTTTTTTGTTTGCAATGCAATTTGACATGATACATATTTGTATAAAACATAAAATATTTCCCTGGAAAATGATTTGCTGTTTTCAAAACTCATAAATATTTTACATTATAATGTAAATTTCATATTTGTGACTTTAAGAGAGAATAAATTCATATGGTTACCATGGAAGCCAGGTGATTTGCTGATGTGCCACCTGTCATTTTTTGTCATCCAATCAGGACACAGGTGTGCAGGGCTGGCATGAAAATATGTGGTGCAGTTAGGCTAATTTGTAGCTGATGAATTGGAAATTAAATCCCCAGTATTACATTGTCATGTTGACTTTTGCAAAATTAATGCAGATATCGTGTCATAGTTTTCTGCCTGTTATAAATGAGATACAGGTAATCTGTTGATACTATCCTGCATACATACAGGTAAGACTGCTACATCCCACTGACTGGAGTGTGTCATAGTAGAAGTCAATCCTCGTGTGATGTATATAATTGGTATAATTTACAAAGTCAAAAGTAATCATTGTGAGAGAAAAAAGGAGAATAATTTACCGTCTATTAAATCCAGCTTTAATGAACCAATGTATTGTAAATATTCAAGAGTTACAATGCATTTGTTTAAAACAACACTCTATTCCCTTGGGTACATTACAACGTATAGGCACACAGTATGTCAAATATTTTCTAACTTTAACTTATTTAATCAGGGTGTGATTGTTATTATCTAAGAGTTTGTGTGACTGTGACTTATCCATAAGTGTTTGTGTGACTGTGTTTTGCGATGTTTGCCTTACAGCGTGTATCCTCAAGCCTCCACCCAGCCCAGATGATGCTAGCATCTCTTCGAGACCGAGACAAGGCAAACCCAACCCCAGGGGGAGGTCTACCTGCCCAAAAAGTTAGTGTCGCTTCACCCTGTCCTAGGAAGCTGTGTACTAGAGAGTGTTAGAGAAAATTCATAGGATAAGATCAAATGAAATGTTAGGAACTTCAAACAATTATAGGATTTTCAACCAGTATTCTGAAACACCTTATATTGATTGAACGCAGTTAGAAAAAACTAATTTTGTCTCTCCGAAGTTTATATATTTTTGAAATCTTAAAAAGGCTATGTTTAACTTTATAATCCTCATCTGTGTCGTTGACACCTGCAGTCTGCCAACTGTACGCCATACTCCATACACCATCAATCACTGCATAGCTTAGGTTGTGTCTTGCTATATCACTGTTTTGCATGAGCGCTGTTAGATCATAATCAGCTCACTGCTCATATCTTCTATGTCAGCATTCCCCTGGAGGAGGTAGGGTGGTCAGTCTCAATCCAGTGATAATTCAATCCCATTTTATTTCAGTAATTTCTATAACTTGAGTTCACGTTTCGTTACCCATCATTTGTCTCCCATTACAAAAGATTTCAAACCCATATTTATTTCCCATTAGGAAAGCTTGCCTATTCAACATACAGAAACTGAACAATCCTATCCATATCATCATTGTCATAGTCACATTCACCATTAAAGAAACAAAGGATGATGATGGGATTGTTCGGTTTCAATGTATGTTAGATAGGAGAGCTCTCCTAAGGGAGGTAAGTTGGATTAAGATCTTTGTATTGATATTAAAATGTTGTGTGATAGCAGGTTATATGTAAACTTAAGTTGTGGTAACTTGTCAATGAAGTTTTTTTTATAATTTAATAAAAACATCTCAATTCTGCTTATAATATGGTACGTGGTTGGTTTACTTAACAAAACGGTATCTGCACCTGTGTGTTTTGGTAGGTTTTGTCTTGGCTGTATTGACCAATTTCTAACGAAGTGTGACTGCAATAACAGACTCAACAGTAGAAACAGGTTCAGGAATTAATGTAGTTAATGGATTTTAAATGACTTTTTACTAATGAAATATTCTAGGGTGTAACCTGTGTAACTTTGTTTTGAGTACGTGTGTACTTTTGTTGGAGCATGATAACCTTATTTGGTGTACTTTGTTGCAGAAGTCAGGAAAGTGGTGTGCTGTCCACGTAAGGATTGCGTGGGAAATCTACCAACACCAACAAAGGCAGTCTGATACCCAGAAAGGGCAATCTGAAGGCAAAAATGTGGAGCCACTGCGGCCCCCAAGTCATCTACTTCTAGGCAGCAGTGTCCACAAAGGTCCAGAACTGGGCCCCACTCCCGGCTTAATGGGACCAGGTAAATAGGGCTACCAGCTTCATTATAATAGCAAGGTTACTGTTCTCTACATAGAATCAGCCTCTTGTATAAGGCAGTACTGAGTCTGATACATTACACCAGTCCTGTGAGCCCCTCTGTATTATACCAGTCTTTTGTGAGGCTATGAGCCCCCATGTATTACACAAGTCCTATGAGCCCCCAAGCAAGACTTTGAGGTCCCTTTGTATTACACAAGTAGGTACACCCCTATGAAACCCTAACTGGTGTATATATGCACATACCTGTTTTACCTACGAGATGATCATTAAGTGGTAGTGTTTTACTATTGACAAGGAGATGCATTATGCATAGTGATGGATGGTGCCCTAGGGATAAGTAAATTTATTAAATTTTTGCTAGTTAGATATTTGATTATTTTAACTTGTGAAGGTAGCTGTTTTGGTGTTGATCAGTCAGAGCTGTGTGAAGGTAGCTGTTTTGGTATTGATCAGTCAGAGCTGTGTGAGGGTAGCTTTTTTGGTATTGATCAATCAGAGCTGTGTGAGGGTAGCTGTTTTGGTATTGATCAGTCAGAGCTGTACTTTGTGTTCACTATACACTCAAAGCCACAGATTGTTTGTTCAGATGCAGAGGAAGCAACAGTAGAATAAAGTGGTTGTTTTGGTACATAATTGGAAACATATATGAGGATATTTATTTAATTACATATCAATCTTACCAGATAATAGCAAAAAATTGTGCAATTGCATTTAGTAGCCCATTTAAAATGGCACATGGCTTTTTTGTCAATTGAATTGTCATTAGAATATGGCGCAAAATATTACCCACTCTTTTTTTTAATACATTAAAATTTTCATCTTAATAGGTACTTGGAATACCATATATATTCAGGTTTTATGGCAGAATCTACCTGTATGTTTCACTTGTACTTTGCTCTCTCAAACAATATCAGTATTCTGCCATACTCATGACAAATTTGTGACCATTTAATATCCTCTATCTTATAAATACCTCTATCACCCATTCCTAAAAGAATAGCAGTGTTTGTAAAATTAAGAATAACAGAAGTACAATTTGTTTTAGACAATAACAGTTAACCCGCATTTATTGACCATGAGTGCCTTACGTTTAGTAAGTTTGAGTTGTCTGCCCTTACAGGTGGCCCAAGAAGTATACTGGAAAGTAGTGGACATGCCGGTCTCATAGGACAAAATGCAATAAGTAAGTAATTATACTGAATATCATATACTTCTTATCACCAACATATTATTTAAACAATACACTAACATTCCCCAAGTTACTGTAATGTTCCAAATATCTTAGTAAGCACAAAACTATGTGTAATTGTCAAAGAAAAACATAAATTTTGTGAAATTACAGTGATTTGATTGCTAATTTACAATAAAAGTTATGAGAAGTATTATGTATGACATATATTCAGTATGCAAATCACCATGTAATCAAAGTAACCAGGCATTTTGATGAGATGATGGACTAATATTGCATGCCTGTAGAGCCTGTGTTGTTATGTTTTGTCAGACATGACGCCGTTCCCTCGGCCGTCGGCCTACTCCGCTCTACCTGGCGGATTTAGTGGGTTTGGTGGCCTCGGTAAGAAGTCTCTGTCACCCTTTCGTAAGTCACCAACACATGTAGTGTACCTCTGTCTTTTCTCCTTACTCTTGTAGTAGTTGTTATCACTGACAAAGGTAATCACATACCTGACAATCCTCCCTAATCTGGAAGGCCCGATTTTGAACCCTAAAATTGAGCACTTTCAACCAGTGAATATTTAATGATCTCATCTGAAAGAACAGCTCAAAAGACGCTGTTTCAAATTGCAAAATGTTGTATATTAAGCCTGTCTCTGCAATGAATTAATTAAATATGAACAAGATTTGAAATTAAAAAAATAATGGACGGTAGAATTTTTTTAGTCCAAATAACAGAAACGTGGCAAGTTTGGAATTTGTTGAGATTATTATGCCAATTAAACCTTTGTCTGTGATAACATAGATTGCTAGTGTTCCTTGTTACAGCCTAGTTCTTGTGTGAACTGTTTGTTTCTCTATCTCCTATACAACCTAGTAGTCTCCCATGTATGTGAAACGTTAGCTATTATTTATACAAAGTTGTATCGTTTATATATAAAGTTGAAAACAGAATTGTTAAAGATGAATCAATATTTGTAAAACAGTATGGGATCAATTAAGAATACAAAATCATTTAAATGACTTGTTCATTGTAAAGGAAATGTTTCAGAAATCAGAAATTCAGAAAATGTTTTTGGAGAGAACAGATCAGAAATAAAAGTAGATGTGATAACGGTTGGTTTGTGTTATATGTGAGCTGACTTGTTACGTTCTGTGTTGTAGGGGCTCCATTCAGCAGTGGGCGAGACGTACCTACTGTGCACGGCATGACCCCTCCTCCTCACGAGTGGGGGAATCGTCTTCACCGTACGCCCCCATCGTTTCCCACCCCCTGGCCAAAACAGATGGAGGAGCGAGAGAAAGAGGAAAGGGAACGGGAAAAGGAAAGAGACTTAGAGAGAGAACGGGAAAAGGAAAGAGAAAAGCGTGATTACATTGGCCTCGACAGGAGAAGAGAGGATGACAGGGAAAGGTGGGACTTGCAGACAAATGGGGAGACAAATGTTTCTTAATATGGGGAGACAACTCTGTCTTAATATGGGGAGACAACTGTGTCTTAATATGGGGAGACAACTCTGTCTTAATATGGGGAGATAACTCTGTCTTAATATGGGGAGACAACTTTGTCTAAGTATGGCGAGACAACTCCGTCTTAATGTGGGGAGATAACTCCATCTTAATATGGGTAGACACCTCTGTCTTAATATGGGGAGACAACTCTGTCTTAATATGGGGAGAAAACTTCATCTTAATATTGGGATACAATCCATTTTAATATGGGGAGAAGACTATCTGAACACCGGTAGACAATTATTATGTTAATACAATGTTGAGAAAAGCTGTAATTAACTAATGGGAATTGTAACACTTTGTATAGATATAAGGTGTTTAAATTAACAACTGTTCCTTAACAAATAAAGTAAGGATTGAAATGAGATTCTTGACATCTATGATGTTATAGAGTTGACATGTTCAATGATTGGTTGTTTGTAAACAACTTGGTTTCATACAATCAAATGTTTAAAAAAAGGCTTCATTTCAAACCTTACATTTGTGTTTGACTTCATCCTTTTGGAGGGTTTCTGTTAGTTCCTGTTGCATTTTGTACCAAAGAATCCTGTAGTTTCTATGATAGCAATTTGGCAGGAGCTTGGGAACATCAGTGTAAACCGTTTGTGATTTCCTATTTGACAAGATTAGACCCTGAATGCCTGATGAAACCATTAGCATTTTTATAGAAATCACTGGCGTTAGTTCGTGCTCATATGCAAACAAACCAACTTTTTGAGTTGATATGTTAATATGGAGCATTTATATTGGAAATATAAAGCATTAATATTAATCTATACTGTATTCAGAAGAACAACATTCCCGTCTTTAAATATGATTGATTTCAGAAATAATCAAGAACCCAATATTAACAAAAAATAACCAATCTAACTTTGTTGTTTTAGGGAGAGACGAAACAGTGAGAGACTACAGATTAACTGTCTAACGGACAGAAGCCGTGACAGGGATAAAATCTTCCCAACAGAATCGGTGCGACCAGCAAGGTCAAGATCACGCTCAAGGTCACCTCTACAAAACGGACGTGTAGGTTCTGCAAAATCTGACAGTAGTTTTGAACGTAGGTTTGATGACCGAGGTGGTTTGAAAATTAAGGAGGAAAGAAGGGATGAGGATATGCTTCATGGAGAAAGAGACAAGATAAGGAATGAGTATATGTTGGGACCGTCTATGCCAAACCCCAATAATCCACTGGCCATGTTTGATCGTAGTCGTTTGTTCATGGGTGCGTCCCCATTCCTGGCAGCTGATCGTGTGCCCTCACACCCTCTGTGGCAGTACGAAAAAAATGCTATGGAGTTCAACCATCGCATGCAGCTACAACAGGAGATGGAGCGTGAGAGACTCATTCATCGTATCCCTTCACATGCCACGTCTCTACAGGAGATGGAGCAGGAACGTATGCGGAAGGAGGAACTTCTTTTCCAGGATGAACGCTTCCGCCGGGACTACCTCTCAAGTATGCCTATGTATGAGCGTGAACGGCTGGCAGCATATGAACAGCAATCGCGGTTTTCTGGGTTACGGACAGCTGAACTAGGGGCAACTTCTCATTTTAATAGGACTCTGAGCCCAATGGTGAACCATGCTGGAGCACGGACTACTTTAAGCCCAATGGTAAACCACATCGGTGCCAGAACTATGAGCCCAATGGTAAATCATGTGGGTGTGAAGGGGAGTTCTCCAGCTTGTGCCCCTCCTCCCCTGATCCCCTCCTCTAGTGCTGCCTCACATAGTCACTCTAACTCCCCTGCTGTGGCCAAGGCTAAGGGTCACCATGGTGAACCCGGCCTTGGGGACAAACGGGATACTTACTCCAACTCCACAGACCCAGAATCCCACAGTAGGTAGTGAGACGCGGCAGACATAAGCGTACTTGTGATTATAGTTATATTAGGCAGCTCAGATACAGGACAACAAGACTGGCTACAGGCCAGTGCCAAGATTCTGGCTAGGAATCAAATACATTTCAGACTTAGTGGTAGTCAATGAAACAACCGGTTGAAAGTGCAAATTGAGAGTTGGAAAACAGTGCTAATATAACCAATAACATAGAAAACCGTGCTGGATGATGATTTATGATCGTGTATCCTGCCGTACGAAAGGAGTTACTGCTCTGTGCATATTGAGAAAGTGATAAAATATTTCAAATGCTTGTTTGATGTATTTTGATGGAATTTCTCTAGTTTCCATGGATTATGACAAGGATACATACAGATAATGCAGTGAAATTTTGAAATATTAAAAATGCAAACATTCCTTCACTTAAAAGTGTGAAAAATTATGTGTTATTGGCGGGATTAAGCAGCGTCGTTTCATTCCCACAGTGTGTAATATTAATTATGTGGGTTTCAGGGATTGTTTACAACAGTGTGTGTTGGTACAGGAAAGCTTTAGAAGTTTCCTCTACTAAGGAATGAAAGTTTCTCCACATTGAAAATTGCTGTGTAGTCACGTGTGACAGGTTTCCATACAAAGTTACTCCATAGGGGGATGTCCCTGTCACTGCAAAGGGAGGCACAGCCAAGGGGAAATATGTCACACCCAGGGAGAGTCTCACACCCAATGGGAAATCTCTCGCACCCAGGGAGAGCCTCACACCCAGGGGGAAATTGGTCGCACCCAGGGAGAAATATGTCGCACCCAGGGAGAGCCTCTCATCCAGGGGAAACCTGTCGCACCCAGAGAGAGCCTCTCATTCCAGGGGAAATCTGTCGCACCCAGGGGGAGTCTCAAATAAGGAGAGTCCTTCATACTCAAGGGGGTTTTCACACCCAAGGGGGAAGTTTTGGTCTCAACAAAAAGGACCTGCATCTAAGGGGAAGGCTCTATCAAACCCTAGGGGTCTTTCCCACCAAAGGGAGTCAAACCCTAGGGAGATCTTTTACTTTCAATGGGGACTATTGTCCCCAGGGAAAGTCTTATCACACCAAAGGATGTCAATGTCACACCCATGGGGAGTCTCTACACAAGTAATGATACACATTATATCTAACCAGACATGGTTCCAGAACGTGTTCTATTTTACAAAGACTTAAAAACATATTGGGATTTTCCCAGGACGAGTCTCTGACTTTTCCCTGAAGGCTATTTATTTCATGGATGCATTTGAAAATTCATGTATTATGAACATGGTACGAGTGATCTGTTGTCGAGATGTTAGTTGTATGGATGTGTTAAAAGGTTTCGGGTTCACGAGACAACTCATGCTGTGTTATATGTGTACAAAGCTATATCTTCTCAGGTTTTTTTCTCTTCTGATAATACAATTCTAGAAATATTGCATTCCAGATACCTATTACTTAGATTTCAAGGAAAGGAACTGTAAGTCCTTAGAGTTTAAAATTCTTAGAATCTGTGGCCTTGAATGACCGTATTGTGTTGAGGGGCTGTAGATACCTTACCTACAAACTGGAACGTGAAGAGTAGGTAAACATTGATATGTTGCTACTGCCTTTCCTGGATGTTTTTACTAGAAACGATGCTTAAAAACATTAACAAACGCATACTATGTGATTCTTGCAAGTCAATATTTTTTTTATTTTTTTTCATGTTCTTTATCAAAAATATTTATAAACAAACTGAATAAAATGTCAGTCTTCTTTGCCATATAACTATTCAAATTCCATATTTGAGCATTTGACCTTTGGATTTTTTTTCATGGACATATTTTAAAGTTAAGTGGTTAAATGTGAAAGTAAATAACATGGTAAAGACTCTTTTGTTTGTGTGCTAAATATATATATATTGAATCTCAAAATGGCAGCCAGATTAAAATCGGCACTTTTAATGATTACATATAACATAGAGGTTTCACAACGAGTGACAGTTGTTAACTTTCAAATGAAAGGTTCAATTAATTTCCACACATACCGATGTGAAAAAGTCTTATCTTTACTTTCGCATGTTATCACTGTATCAAGGTCAGTTTTGTCAACTCATATTTCAAATGACTAATCATTGATAGAATATTCAGATTGTGCTGTGCTACTGTTTATAACTTAGAATTACTGCAAATTTATCATCATATGGAAATAGATGATTATTATTATCATTATTAAAGATTCCTTTAAAAAAAAGGCAGCTATATATTCTAACTAATCCTGTTAAATGTTTCTAGTAGTAAAGCAAGTTACTATCAATCCTAATTGTCACTGGCTAAAGTGAAACTCTACTGTTGTATTTCTGTAGGGTATATACGGTACAGTGATTGTTGGATTTCTGTAGGGTATATACGGTACAGTGATTGTTGTATCTCTGTAGGGTATGTACTGTACAGTAACAGTTGTATCTCTGTAGGGTATATACAGTATGGTAACTGTTGTATCTCTGTAGGGTATATACAGTATGGTAACAGTTGTATCTCTGTAGGGTATGGGCTAAAGTGAAACTCTACTGTTGTATTTCTGTAGGGTATATACGGTACAGTGATTGTTGTATCTCTGTAGGGTATGTACGGTACGGTAACAGTTGTATCTCTGTAGGGTATGTACGGTACAGTAACAGTTGTATCTCTGTAGGGTATGTACGGTACAGTAACAGTTATATTTCTGTAGGGTATATACAGTATGGTAACAGTTGTATCTCTGTAGGGTATATACAGTATGGTAACAGTTGTATCTCTGTAGGATATATACAGTACGGTTACAGTTGTATCTCTGTAGGGTATAAACGGTACAGTAACAGTTGTATTTCTGTAGGGTATATACAGTATGGTAACAGTTGCATCTCTGTAGGGTATATACAGTATGGTAACAGTTGCATCTCTGTAGGGTATATACAGTATGGTTACAGTTGTATCTCTGTAGGGTATAAACGGTACAGTAACAGTTGTATTTCTGTAGGGCATATACAGTACGGTAACAGTTGTATCTCTTTAGGGTATATATACAGTATGGTAACAGTTGTATCTCTGTAGGCTATATACAGTATGGTAACAGTTGTATCTCCGTAGGATATATACAGTACGGTTACAGTTGTATCTCTGTAGGGTATATATACAGTATGGTACCAGTTGTATCTCTGTAGGGTATATACAGTATGGTTACAGTTGTATCTCTGTAGGGTATAAACGGTACAGTAACAGTTGTATTTCTGTAGGGCATATACAGTACGGTAACAGTTGTATCTCTTTAGGGTATATATACAGTATGGTAACAGTTGTATCTCTGTAGGATATATATACAGTACGGTTACAGTTGTATCTCTGTAGGGTATAAACGGTACAGTAACAGTTGTATTTCTGTAGGGTATATACAGTATGGTAACAGTTGTATCTCTGTAGGATATATATACAGTACGGTTACAGTTGTATCTCTGTAGGGTATAAACGGTACAGTAACAGTTGTATTTCTGTAGGGCATATACAGTACGGTAACAGTTGTATCTCTTTAGGGTATATATACAGTATGGTAACAGTTGTATCTCCGTAGGATATATACAGTACGGTTACAGTTCTATCTCTGTAGGGTATAAACGGTACAGTAACAGTTGTATTTCTGTAGGGCATATACAGTACGGTAACAGTTGTATCTCTTTAGGGTATATATACAGTATGGTAACAGTTGTATCTCTGTAGGGTATATACAGTATGGTAACAGTTGTATCTCTGTAGGGTATATATACAGTACAGTAACAGTTGTATCTCTGTAGGGTATGTACAGTATGGTAACAGTTGTATCTCTGTAGGGTATGTACAGTACGGTAACAGTTGTATTAAGATAGTAAGATATATATGGTTCTGTGATAATGTATGTTTAGAGGATGAGTTTGAGATCAAAGCTTGGAAAAAAAATGAAAAGTAAAAAGAGATCGATATTTGAAATGTTAAGATATGAGTGACTGGGCTGATAACATAATAAGCCGTAGGTATATGAGTGACTTGGCTGTGTTGAGATTTATTACATACTTACTAATAAATATGGGTTTTTTGTATATGCGATACAACACAATTGCTCTAACCCATATCAGCCCTCGCCGTATCACACCCCAAAAGCCGTATCAGCCCCTGCCGTATCACACCCCAAAACCCGTATCAGCCCGCAAAACACGTATCGCACCCCTTTTGGATTTTTTTTTGTTTTTCAATATTTCAAAAGAAAATTTTATCATAAGATAGTAGCTTTTATTAATTAGTATGTAATAAACATAATAAAACATTACTTTTTCCATATCAAACCCAGTATTAACCTGAGACTGCAATATCAGCCCAAGGGCTGATATTGGTCGAGGGTTGATACTGGGTGTGATATGGGAAAAGGCATGTATTATTCTCTATATATATGAATCTGATGTATTAAGATATGAATGAATTTGTTTCAATATTTATAAATGGATTTTTAGATGAGACTACCTTTTGAGTTATGACTTCATGGGATTCTATTTATTGATGAAATTCTTATGAATTTGTTATGTAAATCAAGTTAAGACATTTATTATCACATTCTGTCAGAAGAGGCTAAGTCATTTATGAAATCAATGATGTTATTTGTCAGGACGGAGTTGTTACACTCTCTCCTTACTTTGGCAGGTGAATTATAGGAGTCGTATGGAACATGCAATAACAAAGATCAAGTCATTTACATTGAATAGCTGAGTTGAAGAAAGTGTATTTATGAATGAGGTAATTTATTCCACTACTACGTGTTGTTACTGTGAGGACTAGATCACAGTCATGTCGTGCTTAGAGAAAATGTCTATTTATGAAATATTCATAATGTGAAATTTTTAAACCAAATATTCCAGAACCTAATGGATTTTACACATTATATAGATTGACATTTTTTTTTTATATTTTTTCATAATATGATGATGAAGTGGAATGAATGTTGAATTGTATATAGGTACAGCCAGGGTGATGCTGTGGCTGTATATAGGTACAGCCAGGGTGATGCTGTGGCTGTATATAGGTACAGCCAGGGTGATGCTGTGGCTGTTCTTCTGTGTTTCTTGTAATAAAACGTCTCTTTAAAATTGAAACAAATTGGTTTCTATGAAATAGAAGCACACATTAAAGAATACTGAAATATAATCGGTGTTTATTTTTGTTTTCTGAAGGAAATCGCTGGTTCTGCTAGTGTATTTATCATCTACAGTAAAACCTTGATATAACGCCCCTCGTTTTACTTGCCACCTCACTTTCCGCCAAAACATTCCAATATCTTTTGGTTTCTTTCTGAAATCCCCGATACAATTTTGACATATATATTGCCAAACCTTTCTACGATGCTGTTATAATGTCTGAACAGA